TCGATGCGCGCGCGATCGCTAGCCGTGGCGGACTGTGTGGGCGAGCGAGGGGGCGCGTGCGGGTTGAGCGCGGGGAGGCGACGGCGACGACAGCGCTCGATGTGTCGAGCGGGCGGCTCCGCGAACACGCGAGGCGTCCGAGTCCATCAACGCGGGCCGGGGCTCCGCTAGCGGCCGGGCCGTGTGTAGGTATAGCTAAGGGTGTGTACGAACGTGCGGAAGCATAAGGCCGTGTACAAATGTTGTAAAGTTTTAAGTGTTATGGTATGAATGTGAGTGTATGTGTGTATGTTTTATGTAAGTATTTGTTATGTATATTATCTTGTACCTTAGCTATATCCTACAGGTATCATGGAGGGTTACAAATATTTTAGTGTCATTAAGAACGTTATTATGTAGTACCTACTTCTGTCCAGTTTAAACTTAAACTGTCAAACACCAAGCGGTCACCGGTGACCGCAACCTATTGTTCTATAATTGTGTCTACAAAACCGGTACTCGATGAGTTAAGAACGTAAACAAACAACATTGGTCGGGTATTGAAACTTAGGATAGGTACAAATAAAGAAGTTATTTTTGAAGTCGATTAAAAAGGATGAAATTATAATTAACAAAGGAAATACACATTTTTATCATCTCTCTATAAAGCATCTAGCACAATAAGCCAAGGATTAAATGAATGACAAAACCACTTACCATTCAAATCTCTATGGGGATAACGGAACTTCTGCGCCTTGCAGAGTCTGATGCCATCGATGATGGAGGCGTGGTTAAGGGCATCAGAGAAGACCGCGTCTTCTGGGGTAAGCATGGACTCGAATAGACCAGCATTCGCGTCAAAACACGACCCATATAAGATCGCATCCTCGCGGTTGTGGAATTGGGCTAGGCGATGTTCTAGTTCCTGTGGAATTTAGAAAATGACAATTTAACTTCTTTTAGAACCTTGGTGTTAGGTCACACGTGTATCCTTCATTTTTTGGAATAGAGATTAGGTGCGAGGACAGTGGCGTGAGTGACCTCCGCCAGTAAGCTAAATATGAGACAATTTTATTGCTTTGCAAAGTGAACGCAAGGTTACAGCATCATAATAATAATATTACGTAGCGTTGATCTTCTTCATTGAAATTCTGTAACCACAAACCGAAAGTTTTAAAGATTTACCTTATGTATAGTTTGTGTGCCGCAAATAAACCGGACCGAGCTGAGTCCGGCTCCATAATTCTTCAAGCCTTCTCTGGCAGCCTCTACCACCTCCGGATGATTCTAAGAGAAAACAGTTTCTACTAAGATTTAGATTGAACAAATCCATATGGTTTTTTTTAGAGTAAGAAACATATAACATGAAGCTCTTACTCCGTATTAACGTTAAAGTTACTGAAGTTCATACGTAGGTACTCACAGATAGTCCCAAATAGTTGTTTGCGCAGAAATTCAGGAACTCGCCTTCAGCACCTTTCACTGTCACCTGGAAAACGTGTGCTAATTAATATAAATAAGCATACACATCTACCGACATTCATATTAACTACTTAACACCAAGTGAAATGGTGAAAGTGCAGATCTATGGACATGGACTCCAAAGTGATTCATACTCAAAACTCAAACTCAAAAGCATTTATTTCAATTAAACCATAATTTGGTACTTTTGAAACGTCAACAAATATGAAATAAATAATAGTCTGTCAATCTGTCCATCAGTGAAGCTAGGCGATTATTTAGCGAGGTATAATCTTGAATCTTGAGTTAAATATGTATACCTAGCTAGATGTATAGTATAACAGTTCTTACTGTCCAACGGACTCTTTTAAATGTCCCATTGTTTCAAGACAAGTGTGCATTGGTTGAAGATGGATATTCATTGTCAGCAATTATATTTTCGGACAATTGGAGGTCACTGCTTCTGATTATTTTCCTTTGCTTTTTAGCCAAAAATGAACTCGCCAGATCTAGCCTCTTGAGCATTTCATCTACCGACAACGTTACTAATCTGATTACCTAATTTAGGTTGTTGTGAATTGTCTAATCCAATTGAATTTAGGTACATCTTTTAGCAACAATATATTTCACTCTTAAAAGCAGTTTAACTATTTTCTTTTCTTCCTGAAACAGCGGGTGCGATCATGGAAAGCAAAAAATCTGTCTGTTTATCTGTCTGACTGGCCAGAAGGCTGGCCTACTTCAGTCAAAACACAACAAACCATAAACTAAAACGTGTGTGTATAAACACCGTTTACCCAGTGTGTGTGTATGTACACCGCATCACGGACGCGATAACTGAATCGATACACTTTAAAATCGGTTAATGTGTGCAAAAATAACTGTGCGTCAGTCCGTATGTTTTTTCCTGAACTTAACAATTCAAGTTTACAGATGTTGGTCGTCGATTGAATTTTGTAACGCTTAGAGTTTTTGTTTCAGTTTCTTCTTGGTGTTATTTTATTTAAATAATTGTTTCTGTTAGGCTAATTATTTTTCTTATGAGGAATGGCTGTGGTAGATGCCCAACAAACAAACGTAATTTAACGAAGGCTTATGTTATTCAACTTACCTCATTAATCCCTAAATGATCGCTAAGGTGATGTCTATAGAGACAAAAAGTACCCAGCCTAAAATTCTAATCTTTTTAAATATTATGTACTTACCTACATAATCTTAATCATTTAATATTCCTATTATCAACAAAAACAAACAGTAAGCTATGTCGTCGATTTCTCAAGGTTAACGACTCAGTAGCATATTTTATGCGCATTTTTGCCTCTTCTAAACAATAACTTTGGAGGCCATTTTGGCGGGCTTGGCGGCCATATTTGGTATAATACGTTGGACTATCTTTTACCAACTTGAAAGAAAAAAAAATATGGCACACAAAACAAAGATTATAAAAAAATAAAAATACAGATACTTACATACTTAAACAATATATTAATAACAAACTTAAAATAATAGAGAAAAGAACAAACTTAATTCATTAAACTACTGAGCAAGTGGACTTTCGTTTTTCAACTCGAAACATCTGAATAAATAAGTACACGATAATAAAATTGATGTCACAAAAATAGACTAGGTACAATATTTAGTAAAGTATCTCCAGTCTCCACTTTTGGTTTTTTACGACTGGCGTGCTGAGTCTGGACAAGCGATCAATTAACGATGTTGTCGCCTTTTACGTTACTATAATATTGTTTGCTAAGTACATTGAGGTACACATTAAAGTCAAACAACGGCATAAATTTAGAATGTTTAACAATGATGGTATTATTTAGGTACCTTCATGATGTGGGTATGTTGTACCTACAGAACTTTTCATATTTAATTCCCAGCAATAGCTCATAATCTGGATGTCTTAAGCTTGTACCTATCATTTGAAACTTCTGATGTGATAAAGGCCAGAATAATTGAAGGAAACAATCAAGCACTTTAATCAACCATAATAAAAATATCCAACAAAAGCTAACAAGCCTTGAATAATCTCTTATCTTTGTAAACGTATTCAGTACATGCATAAGACCTCTTTAAAAGGGAACAATAACCTCTTAAGAGCCAGATCAGATAATCACATGTTCAGACAGGTCTTTAACATTGTTTTCCTCTCTACCTTACACTATATGAAGTATTATTAGGTAAGTGTTTCTTATGAATACGTAAGATGCAGTCTTACCGGTTCATAAAAGCCCAATCTTAATAAACTACATGACTTCTGATGATAATTCATGTAACATGTAATGACAGATTAATTGTCTTGAGCCTAGCCGATCTTGTTTCATAACTTTCTACCTAAGTTCCTGTCATTTTATGTTTTTAGGAAAAGCCCCTTATAACCTCGTATAACCGCTACAACTTCTACATAGCTTGTATTTAAAGATAAATACAACCATGAAAACACCAGAACCCTGAACTACGATGCTTCCTAGGGTATTGGGTTCCTTTCAATCTAACGTGCAGATAATTTGACATGGCCTAGATATCTTCTATATAAATTACATCAGTTAACCAAAAACACAATGGTGCAAGGACTATTTTTTCACTTACCTTTGTATCTTGAGGAGAAGTAATAATCCTCTCGTGTTTCCATGTTTTGGCGCGTTTTATCTCCCGTAACCGATCCTCAAGCACGTCCCGTAACGTGGCGACTCCTGCGCGTTCCTTTTGCAGCTCGTGGAAAGAACGAGACTGGACAGTGCCATTGAGACCTGGAAGATGGAAACTTATTAGAATGAGCGAGAGAAAACTGAAACTATTAGGTATAACTTTTAGTATTAAAGTTCGTCGCTTTAATGCACTTCTCCGTAGGAATTGGAAGTCAACACTGGACTACTAGCCAAAATAAATAAAATATGTCTGATCTAGGTTTATGGTGGTAACTTAGTACCTAGAAGTCATGTCGAATGGGTTGAGATCGGTTATAAGTTTTGACCGTAGAGTAAGAGAAGTCATCGTGTAGGTACCTACTTGGTGCCTGTTCCAACTTTCCAAGTAATAATACGAAAAATGTACAAATTATCCATTTTGGAATAGGTAGGTAGGTACTTAAATGTTATTGACACTTGACATTTTACGTAGGTTCGTTTTGGTACCAGGTTCCGCAAAACCGGCACAACCTGGGTAGGTAATTAAACTTGTTGTTATTCCAGTATGAATAAGTAGATGTTGATATTTAAGAATGGAAAGAAACTACAGCTGATTTTGGTCATCACCCATTATAAACCAGCAATTGGCTCTGGACTCTTCTCTACACACAGAAATGTTTAAAATATTAAAAAATATTATTATATCTATATTTATACACAAGAAGGATGTGCTATAATCCCTGAGGCATGCAGAATGGAGATTGCAGTAGGTACGCAGTTTAAAAGATTCAGGTAGGTATTCTTTTACTGCCTCCAATAGATTTCACAATGTGACAATTTAGTATAGAGAGACAAGAAATCGTTGTATTATTTTTCATGGTATCGTCATCAATATTTGTGTAGGTACTGTGTCCTACTACAGACACTACAGTCCTCCCTAGAGACTAGTATTATTCTGTTTACAATATAAAATAATACGTAATGACTAGTTCAGCCCGCAACTACATCTGGGTTTTTTTATAAATAAAAGTAGCCCATGTTACTCTTTAGTACAGTAGCCAATAAAAGTCCCGTCAAAATCGGTCCATCCATTTCAGAGATTAATAGCCAGTACAAACAGAGCGACAAACTAAAAATTGTAAAAAGTATTGTTTTTTTTTATAGCATAAGCCGGTAAACGAGCAGACGGATCACCAGATGGTAAGCAATCGGCACCGCCCATGGAGACTCGAAACACCGAGGCGTTACAAGTGCGTTACCGGCCTTTTGGGAATTGGGAAATTGAGGATGTGGAGGATTCGGGGATTCGGGAGGGGGGACTAGGGAGGGGGGGGGGTTAATTGGGCCTCCGGTAACCTCACTCACACGACGAAACACAACGCAAGCGTTGTTTCACGTCGGTTTTCTGTGAGGCCGTGGTATCAGTCCGGTCGAGGCGGCCCATTCGTGCCGAAGCATGGCTCTCCCACACTTGTTTTGGTATCTGTATCGTATGTTTTTTCATATGCATATTTATAGTAGAAAGCGGTTATTTCAATATTGCAAACAGACACTTCATCCGTACTAATCCGTAGGTATAGATATGGAATATGAGTCGCGACCAAGTTTAGTGTGAAAACAAGTATTCCAAGATACCTAATTAAATATTTTCTTTAAGTAAGTCCCTTGAAAATATAGGTATGTACTAGGTATTGTTCTCAGGTGTCTTCTTTCATATGGAAGTCGACATTAAATACCTATCATAAGTAATATTGCGATAGGTAACTTAGGTATACTACTCTGGAGTCTGAGGGTTTTCATATTGAAAACTTGTGCAACATTTGATACAATTTTAAATGGCAAGGAGATCATCCTTTTACAATAGGTAATTATTTTCCTTTCAAAATTGGACCACCCTTTTTTATACCCAGAGGTGTAGGTACTTAATTTCGAAATTTCATGAAACACGTGTCCAAAAGTTTTTAATCGGTACACAGCGATAGCAGAGGCAGCTAGACTCCGACTCTGTTAAATCCGAACCTTTGATTCTCTGGTTAACGTGGAGATTAGGACGACAAGCCCTATTATGTTGGGGAGACCCTAAGACCCTAGGAGACATAGGACTTAGGAGACTCCATGAAATAGACTACTTCATATAACACCAATGGACTATAGCATTGGTGGAGTTTCATGGACTATTATTGATATTGTAGTATTTGAAGTACAAAGCTAGAAATGCTCGAAAGATGAGAAGAAGAAACTTCTTAAATCCAACCTACTTATCTCTAATCGTATCATGCTCATCCATCACATAACATATGCAAACACATAATATGTGGGTTTGAGCAAACAAGTAAATAACTGTTATCTATACTTAAACAGTTCAACCAATTATAATGCAATTTCTTCGTACAAGGTCTCTTAGATAAACGTAGGTACTATTATGTATTATGTTACACACGCCACACATGGGACATGTGAAGAGCAAATTTATCTGCTTGTTACTGTACATATTGCTCCTGAACAGCTGAGAAATTCATCAAAAACTGTTCAGTTTTTGATGAATTTCTCATCCTTACTTCCTTACTCCTTACTAATATTATAAATCGGAAAGTGAGTTTGTTTGTTTGTTCCGCTTTCACGCCATAACTACTAAACCGATTGCTTTGAATATTTGTAGATGTATAGTTAGAAGTCCGGAGTAAATAATAGGGTACTTCTTATCCCGGAAAAATTTGATATTGCCTAGGGAAACAAAAATATTGGTATAGATGGCGCTGTGTGTATTTTTTTTAAGGGGGGAAAATCATCGAATGACTGCTCCCGCCTGGGTGAGGCGGAAGGGAGTGTCAGACTCTTACTGACTAAAAACCACCCCGTTCCTTCTCCTGCACGTCGAGCCGGAGCCCCGGTTACCCGTTAGGTTCTCCGCGACGCGCTGTGTGTATTGGTATATGTCACATTGGCTTTTTATTCTTTTGTGACGCGAGCGAAGCCGCGGGTAAAAGCTAGTAAGCTAGTCAGTCATGAATGAGATGCTCAGGGAAGGAACAGATTTTAGTGGTTTTTTTTTAAGTAGGTATATAAAGCAAAAACACAAAACTTAACCAAATTAAAAGTGCCTGAAATTATTAGCAAAATATGTAAAAATGTTAGATTCACATACGTATACTGTTATATTGATTGAATCACTATTCATTCAAATAAGTAGGACAAACAAAACACTTGAATCAATAAATTAAATTAAAATCGTAATAATGTTGCTTCCTTAATTCTGTCTGTCTTAGCGTAAGAACGAGTCTTTTGTCTCGTGAATAATAATAAATGATCAATTTTGGTTCCAAGTCGCTTTTAGTTAGGTATTATCAGCTCTACCAATACCTACAATGACCTACATGGAATATTAATTTTGCACTCAAACACTAACAAGGTTTTCATTTTACACTTCATTACTGAATTTTCTTTCGAAGTCCTAACAAAGACGAATCACCCAATATTATGACGTGACCTTAGATAATAATGTCGTAACAAAATATAAGTTGGTTTGTAAAAAAACCTGTAATCCTTGTTAAAAAAGACGCTACAAGGTTGTACACGAAGACAGAAACACTGCCTTTGTCGACAGTTCCACTGTTCCACACACTTTTCTAAATATTAAATTCACATTCACTTTTTGAACGATATTTTTTGTATTTTTTTGATAATGGATATGTGAAAAATGCTTGAAAGTATTTTAAAGTAAGTAAATAAATACTCACAGTTGCGCAGGAGTTGCGAGCGGAGCGCCATCGCGACGAATGGGGGCGCGGCCGCCGGCCGGTGTTGCGCGGGCGCAGAGCAACTCTTTAGCAGACCAGTCACGCAGGTTGTGCTGTATCGTGTGTTCCAACATAATTTTGTTTTCATTGCATGGTTAATATATCGGAGTGCGCAGTAGACTAGGTAGAGACTTATTTTAAAACGCGGTTTTTAAACATGGACGATGTGCATCGTGAATGTTTTGCTATTTTTGTATCTGGTTATTGTTAATTCGTTTATAGAATTCAAGTTGATATGCAATTCAATTAATATTAGTAATTACCTCTATTTTTACGTAATGTCGTTCAGAATTTTTGTTAGCCGACCGTTTTTAAGTGCATTGCAATAGATGATTAACACGGTTAACCGATGTTATTAACCAAGGTAGGAGCAATTAATATTACAGGAAACTTCTAAATGTAAATTAATACTAATTTCGACAATAAAAAGTTAAGGATAATTTTATAAAATTAATAATTATCAGTTGAAGTATTGTCCTTGTCCTATTCTGAGTGTTCATTAGTCCGCTATAGCAATCAGAGGACGCACATTTTATCTGCATAGCACAATAGATAGTTAGTACTATACTTAGCTACATACATAATTATACTTAGTGCCTGCTTATGTAAATGTAGACGCCGAAAAACATTACGTCATGTCTGAGCGTAACCCGACTACATTGCAAAGTTTGTAATATTATCCTCTACTTCTAAAATTATCTAGTTATCAACAAGTTATTATGTGACAATGTTTTTGATAACTAACTACGCCCGGTTTCTCCCGCTGCGCAGGTTCTTTTGGTTGTAGCCTGTGTTGTAGTCCATGTCATGATTTCATTCTTCATACCTTCAATCTTCAACTACTTATATCCACTTAAATATCACGGCAATTCGTCGCTCCGTTATGCCGTGAAAGACGGACAAACAAAGAGATTCGCATTTAATTAAATTAATGTTAGTATCTATGAATTGTTTGTTTGCCAGTTTATTTCGAGAATTTATAAACCCGATTGGATTTTATTCAATTTCCATATACTGGGTGCAAATTGTTTATAAAAAAATAGTCTTATTTTTGTACTTATTTTCATCGAGGTAGCGTGGCCAGATTTCTAAGACTATTTTATTAGATAGCTGTTGAATAAAAAAGAACTATCATGTATGTATGTGAAGTATCAAGGTATTAGTTGGTATCTACCTAGTACCTACCTGCTACAAATGGATGAGATACCTGTTCCTAATAGGTTTGGTATCCCTTCGTAGTAGGTGCCTACAGACATGTGACAAAACTATACAAGTGTAGGACAGTACATCTTTCACTACAAACATCTTTTTCTAACCGTTTATCTTCAATCCACTCGTAAACACATAACATAGAGGTTTACCAATCAGCTGACGGTGACGGTAGCCGATGACGCCGGGAGGTACCGTCAATTTTTTTTATGAGCAGGAACCGCAAAAAGTCGTCATCATTCATTAATCATTTTGATGTACTTATAATCTAGTGGCCTAGTTATCTATTATTTATTATACTTAGTTACGCCTACGCTATAAAATAAACGTAAGTTTTTGCTCAGAGTCTGTTTCTACGTTAGAATTAAGTTCTTGTGTCAATTAATTGATGAATGTCGGAATCTTCAAACGCCATTTTACGTTACGCTTAAGCGGCTTAAGTATAATTCTGTCACTACAAATTCTTTGTGGGTTAGGCTCTAAGTTAGATACTCGGACAGCTGCGGACGCAGTGCCGGCGTTGAGGGAGGGGGACATGATGGGGCGATAGCCCAGGGCGACAAATTCTGAGGGGCGCCAAGGTCTGAAGTTGGAGTCTCTTGCCTCTCCTGGTGCAAACCCTCAGAACTACCTACCTAACTCTACGCTCTGTGCATATACATATTTTTTATTTAAGCCGGCACTCGGACGTCCGGGTTACCGCGGCTCTGGTTCAAAGCAAGAGTAGGAACAGGGTGGTTTTGTTTTAAGTCAGTAAGCATCTAACACTCCCTCCCGCCTCACCCAAGGCAGAAGTCATTGGATAATGTTCCCCCTTCAATAAAAGGCTCTAAGTTAGATAAAGAATCAATAACTTATTATTAGGTATAGAATTTTTTATTGATACTGATATTTATTTTACAAAATGTGTGTGTAAGGCACTTCGGAAGACAAATGAGGATTCAAATAAAAATTCATTCTTAATGTGATTTGTACTCGACCAGCTTTCGGCTTAAAGACGACTCTGAAACAAAATAATTAAAAGTTAAGTAGGTACCTACTTACCTATTTAAAACCTACATACCTTCACTACAAAAGATAATATTTTTAAAGATTGATATCATAAAGATTGATTTTTATAATCTTTGTTTGATGATTTGACGCAGGGAAACTGTTCTTTGTGTTGTATTGTGGTGTGGATACGATGTGTATAAATAAATGCTTGTGTGGGCTCATATAAAAAACTCCCAGCTTCAAAATCGCTTCTTACCTCAGGTCCAATATGAATGGCCAGCATCATATCATAGTCGTTGGCTCCAACAGAGATCTGTGCCCGACCATCGTTGCCCACGGTGACAGTCTTGCCCGTGCAAGAGTTGCCCACTTTCTCACCCGATATCACGTCACAATACCTACCTGCGGGCAAGCAAGTCTGGAAGCAAAGAAAAATAAATGAATGTATGATTGAATGAATGAATAAAATGAATAACTACCGAGATTTGTCTAATAGATGTCACTACGTGCCTATAGGGCACTTTCGTCCCCTTTAGTACCTACTCAAGTTTATTTTAGTTTTAACTCAGTTTGTTAAATAGTTACCTGAGGCCTTAGTACGAGTTTGATTTACGTTTATAGTATTCGAAACGAGTACGCGTTCAGCATTCTGATTGGCTGTCGCCAATGAAGCAACCAATCAGAGCACCGAACGGGTTCTCGTTACGATAACTTTAAACGTAAAACAAACTTGTACTAGGGCCTCTGTTCAACTGTGATAGAGTTTCTTCTAATCTCTAGTAAGATTACTTTCATTTTATTATTTTGATCTCCTAACAGAAAGTAACATACTTAGGTTTCGATAGAAAAAAGTTTTGATGAGAAGTAGTAGTAAAATTCTTTACATATGAACTTGGATACCACAGAAAAACGAAAAGAGGACTACAAGATAATACTTTTATCTACCTGTAGATTCTGGTTAAGATTCCAATAATCATTATTAAAGGCAATGAAAGCGTTGCCCCCGCGACAGAAGGCGATCTGGTTGCTTCCATTGTCCCACCAGTCGTTGATGCCAGTGTTACCGGCCGCGTTCCTGAATGCCACCATTGCGTAGATCTGACGCCAACGATGCTGACATATCCAGCCGTTTCCACAGGTTCCATCCTAAGAGAAACCAACATTGCATAAAAATGATTCAGTTTGTTCGTTGTAAGTTTTAATAGAAAGTAAAAGCTAAAAAAAATTGAAAGAAGCTTACTAGCTTCGTGCGTTAGGATTGCTAACACATTTACTGAAAATATAAACTTTATGCGGGTATAGCTAAGTACGTCAGTAGATATGGTAGACTGGTCATTAATAATAAAAATTGATTTAATAATTATCGATTGAAGATGGTAAGTTAATAACTAAAGGAATTGATCGAAAACATTTCAAGTACACAACTGAAAATTATTTGCATATTAATCGTAATGAACAATACAAAATATTCCAAAAACAACTCACAGAATTGATAGCAGGTGAAATGATGTTGCCATTGTTATCCATGGGAGGACCAACTTCGCTGTCCCAGAAGTCAAAACTGCTCATGATTTGAGGCTCTCCATACGGATGGGCCAACAGGAAGGCGATAGCAGCCTTATAGGGGCGAGACTGTTTGTAAGTAAGGACACCACCACCACCGCCGTGACCTCTCTCATTGTCATGATTATCAATGAAGGTCAAAGAGTCTCCATGGGCCAACAATCCCCATTGAGGACCCCAACTTGACAACCACCGCAGTTGATTATTACCTCTGAAAGCGTTACTAAGCTCCAAACCCACTTTGAACTCTGTTACAGCTCCTAAAGGAGTGTATTCGTCTCTGCTAATGGCTTCACCGCCATAGTCAATGACTTCTTGGTAGATATAAGGACGGGCATTGGCTGGGAAGCCGTGGTCTGTGTTGAGGTTGTGGAGACGATCGTAGATGACGCGGAGGTCACTGGGCCACATGTGCTTGGCTGCGTCGATCCTGAAGACCATAATACAGATTTTATCACCTAGAATATTATTATTCAGCAGAAGAAAATTTTTAATGGCAATTTTTTATTAAATATTTTTCACCTTTTTCCAGTGCAGTTTATAGTTTTCTGTCTTACCTGAATCCAGCTACGCCCAAATCGATAAGTTTGTTCATGAAGTTTACGATCATGTTCCTTACATGTTCATCTGCTTGATTCAAGTCTTTCAATCCAACCAGCTCACAGTTGCGGACCTGTATCGCGTTTGAAAAGTTGTCATAAACATTTTGGAACTGATTTCAGTTATATTATGGCTTAAAACTTGGTGGTCTAAAGGTTTAATGGTTCGCTGTTCAAGCATAATGATACTCACTACTGGCATCGAAAGAAAATCGTGTGAAAACCAGTTCTATTACAAAATATTACAAAGTTTTAACCGGTATTAGGGTTAAGACATTATTCTCCACAACTTACTCTCCAAGCATCAGTAGAGTAATCAATATCGTTAATGACGCAGTGTGGCCAGTTAAAGTGCTGTCGGTTGAAAGGCACGGCGGGGTAGTACCAGTCGGAGAACACGGCGGTACTGCCTGCTGTACCAACGTTCTCTGGAGGCTCACCCGTCATGTGGTTAATTACTGCGTCTACATAGATCCTGGGGAATTTCCGATAGATTATTATAGAAAAAATATCTGGACCCTCACTGCAAAAACACTTGACTGCACGCGGGTGGTGCAGTGGCTGGGCAACTAGATGCCGCGTAACGTGTCGCGAGTTCGATTCCCATACGGAACAACTCTTTGTGTGATCCACAGATTGTTGTTCCGGGTCCAGATCTAATGCGTGTTTGAACTTATATGTTTGTAAACGCACCCACGACACAGAAGATAATCCTAGTGCGGGGCAACGTTTAAAAAAACAAAAAGAAACATGTTTTTAAGTTAATTAAAGTAAAATCAAAATATGTCTTTAATTAAAGACTTTTAACTGGTGAAAGGATTGCAGTTTTCACGATGTTATTTTGTTTTTTAAAAATTTTTATCCTCATTATTATAGCTCTAAGACAAAGAAGTCGGTTTTGAATGTTCTTTCCTTACCTAACGCCTGCAGCATTACACCGTCGCAACATGTTTGCGAACTGCGCCTCGTTGCCGGAGCGAGTGACCAGTTTGTATGACATCGGCTGGTAACGCTCCCACCACGGACGGTTGTAACTCCATAGCACTACATTCTCATTAGGAGGGGAAATCTACAAGTAAATTGTATTGCTGGAGACATATTTTCGAACTAACAAAATGGAGAAAGAAATCTGATTGGTATGCAGAAAACAAAATAACAAAAAGATAACACGGAAGAAAATTTTTATTGATTGTAATGTTTGTTTAACCAGATTTCCAATGCTTAAAACTTAAGCGCGAGCTCTTTTCAATTTTGATTTTTGTTTGAATCATAAATAAATTTGATCTATCAATAGATATAATTTTTTTTTGTTTTTTTTTAAGGGGGTAAAATCATCGAATGACTTCTCCCGCCTGGGTGAGGCGGGAGGGAGTGTCAGACCCTTACTGACTAAAAACCACCCCGTTCCTTCTCCTGCACGTCGAGTCGGAGCCCCGGTTACCCGTTAGGTTCTCCGCGACATCAATAGATATAATAATTACCTTTAGAACAACTTCTATTCGTCACAATACTTAGATACGTACCTAATCAAACTTACTTACTTTCCTGCTCCTAATAAATCTATATAAAATATAATTATTGTTAACACCCTCACCTGAATACCACCAAAACCTCTTGGTCCTAGGAACCTTTCGCACTCATCAGCGATGTCGTCCCACTTCCATTCGAAGAGGTGGACATTCACTGACCTATTCGCTGCATAGTAAGGGTTCTTGTATGCAGATGCGGCTGAGGCGATGATCGCCATGCCGCAGAAAAATGTCAGCCACCCCTGGATAACAAAAGAGTCAGTATAATAGACAGGCAGTCATTATTAGCATCTGGAACCTCCACTGTCAAATATAAGGGCCCTCTTGAAGGTATTTCGCAATCTCCGTACGCTTCATAGCCAATACATGTATTGAAAGTGCAGGAGCAGCATTAGGGTTCTATTCTTTTGGTGACCTAAATATGTTCGAATCGGCTGTCAAGCGTACAGGGATTGCTGATCATAGTTGTCGTTTAGGATGTACCCGACCCGGATCTAACAATACAATTAAGAGATAGTGTAGATGGATCTAGAAAGACACAGTATCGCTTGATGAGCGTATTTGGATAAATATGGCTGTAGAACGCGCGTGAAACCACGTAAATACTAACAGGAAGCTGTAAAAACTTTATTAACTTTATAGAGGACAAGACAATAACTGTTTAGGCATTTATTAAAAGTCCTTAATCATTTTATTATAGAGACAAAATTAATTGTTTTCATAGATTTACCATCTTTCCGCAACGATAGAAAATTAATGATGTTCAGACATTTATTAAAAGTACTTAACAATTTTATTATAATGACAAAATTAATTGCTATAGACTTACCATCTTTCCGTAACCTTATCGAATTAATGACCACACAGTACTAATAAGCTTCGCATGAAAATAAACATGTAGCTAGGAGTGTAGTCATTATTATTCACCGATAAATAAGGCAAAAGTAATAATCCTATTTCATATCAATACTTTAGACCACATTAAAATCATGATTAGGCAAACTTTTAAAATGATAGGTGTTTCTTTTGGACATAGATCCGATCTTTTTACGTGATAATTAGCCAAGTCAGATAACCGGATTACGATATTCCACAAGCCGAATAGAGGTTATTAATCTAAAATCTCATACCTATTATTTCATAATCTTAATTACTCTTTATTCAGATTTCATTGATATTATTGTTAAGTAATAGGTCCTTTGGAAAATTACAAGTTATTGTTGAAGAGATGAAGAAGTTAGGTAGTTGCAAAAAACTTAGGTAGTGCTTAAATTTTAAAAATTCCGCTTGTATATTACAGTGTTACCAATTTGTAACAGTGATGGCTATAATACAATTTATAAATAAGGGTTACATAAAATAAGATGTGATTAAACATTTTTACTATCGTAATTCTTAACCTAAACAATATTTATCTAAATAAACGCACTAAAATAGACACTGTATCTTTTACAATTAAAGAGTCTGGTAACTTTGCTATGTGCGCATTTTAGTCTACTTTAGTTGATTTTTTTTCAGATCTGTGGTTCATCGAATCATTCATTTCCATCATTTCGTTCACTCTTCAAACTTTTTCATTCATTCACTAAAGTAAACTTTCCCAGTGGTAGACGTTGAACAACTTGTTTCTAAAAATTAATAATTTATTTATTTTAGTTTGCTATTTGCATAAATGTTACATGTGCCATTTAATACTATACAACACCAATTCATTGTTCTTCTAATACAAGTTATGGACCAGTGAACACTTGGAACTGTATCTTATTTGGAGTTTTTGATGTTGTTTATTTTTACAACTTTGTAAATTCCTCTTGTCGTGTAAACAATTTGTGAAAAGTTGTGAATATGGCTGGCAAATTCTACTTCGTAGTAGCGTTAGTGTGTATAGTGCCGATAGTTTATGCTTGTAACGAGGCTATTTGTGCCAGTGTGGTGTCAAAATGTATGCTGACCCAGTCATGTAAGTGTGACCTGAAGGATTGTTCCTGCTGCAAGGACTGTTTCAACTGCCTCAGCTACTTGTACAGCGAGTGCTGCAGTTGTGTTGGTTAGTACTTCACTTATATAAGCATTTATCTACCTGACAAAGATAAATCAAAACTATTAATTCTGTGTTAATTACTCAATTCAGAGTAAAATTAGCAAACTAATTATATTTATTTTATTTTTTAGTTTTTACCCACACGCTAGTATTTTAAACTTATCTTGTAAACCTTACTTAAAGTCACTTACATGCCTTATGCTACAATGTGACCTTCCACTAACTGTAATTTCCAGGAAAACTCCATTCATCATTACAATAATGTTAATTTATGTGAATACAATGTGTATCATTCCAACTGATAGCCTAACAATAGCATTTATTGTCCACAGACATGTGTCCGAAACCGAATGACACACAAACAGAATTATCCAAGACGTCATATGTGGAGGAATTAGCAGATGGTGTGCCTGGACTCTTCGCCGCCCTCACCAGTGACCCGGACCCTCAACAGAGGTGGCTGTCCATCACATACCCAGTAGACATTGATTTATCAGCTTACAGAGCAGTTCCAGAGAAAACAGTTGTCTTCCATTTACGTAAGTATCTCAATTATAGAGAATTAATTAATGACTAATTAAATCTGTTTTGATAAACTATTTCTATGTAATGCGTGTTATTCCGTGTTATGCTAACAAATATTTCAATAGTAAGGCACAAAAAATTCGTAATATAGGATTCAAGGTACTGTAAATCAATTATTTTTAATTTACTGCTTTTAACTCGTCGAGTACCGGTTTTGTAGACACAATTATAGAACAATAGGTTGCAGTCACCGGTGACCGCTTGGTGTTTGACAGTTTAAAGATGGAATTTAAAATCCATACTATTGAACAGAATGTTGACAAAATGCATCTTTTAAGAAATTCCATTTTTAAACTGATCTTTTTTTTAACCACAGATAGCTAAATATCAGTTAAAACAATGTTAGATTTAGTAAACAAGTCTATGAGTCATAGAGCAAGATTATAATTTATTACACCTCTCATATATTACCACTCCTCCATAATTAGCATTAGTATATTACTACTGATATCAGATTACTACTGTTTATCATGTATTATATTTCTTTAAATTAATCTTTAATTAGTTTTGCTCACTAGGAGGTCACCAGGTGGTATGATTTGAGATGTATTTGATATTAACACTAGAAAGACGGGAGCAGTCATTTGACCGCAATTTGATTTTAAATGTTGAATAACTTAAAAACAATTTGAGTTATTTTACTGAGACTTTGTGACTTTTTTTTATTTTACTAGTTAAATGTAATAATGTTTGAAAATAAATCACAACTCTTTTGTTTATTATTTAAAATGTTGATCTACCTACAAAGACGGCGGCAGTCATTTGACTGCTAACAACCGATAAGTGTTTATAAGTGTAATATGAGAGGGTAGAATACAAATTATATACACTAATTCATTGTTCATAGTCTGTTTATCAAATGAAACCGTATCATTTCAAGTGCTTGTGAACTTTTATGAAATTATTGTAAGTATTTCGTGGTCGCAACGTCTTGGAGTCTTGAAAATGAAAATTGTTTGTTAGTTCTAAAATATTTGTGAAGATGAGTCTGATTGTGACTCTGAAAGTACAAAACGTGATAGCAACGACAATTATGCGGTACTACTTGTCAGTTCGAGTTCCTCTACGGAAGGAATTGACCTGAAAGACCAGATACCTCGAGCATATTTATCAGTCGTTGACAGGTCGTAAATCTCGTAGGTGTAGTCGTTGCTATGGTAGTGATAAAGGCTCTGAAAGGAGTTTGGAAGATCCTGAGCATCAAGGTCTTTTCATAACTATCGACTGTATCTTGTAGACACCTCAGATGGCATCTACTCTAAGTGGTCAAATGTCGGTAAATCCGTTGATACAGATGCGTCTTGTGAAACTTGTTGCAAATACTGGTCAAAATGTTAGGAGCATCTCAAAGGTGAAATAGATTTTTTTTTCACATTTTTGAGATCTAGCAAAGATATAATTTAGAAAATTTTTTTTTTTAGATATAATTCCTTCATTTAGTATAAGAAAATGTAGAATATTACATGAAACGAAGGCTATTTAGACATAGTTCAGGGAGCGAACTTAGCAGCAAAGTACAAAATTGAAGAAGACTCTCTGAAAATGAATCCTTGCCTGCAGAGTATAGATCTTTTACTTCTCAATCTTCTGCTCAAAATCCAGATATTCCAAAATGTTATATACAGAAATGCAAATGCAAAACCATAAAGAATGTGACAACTGTAAAAAGCCACTTTGCGGCTCTTGTAACGTAAATAAAATGTTAAAATGTAAAAATTCTACATAAATTACTTACTTAATAGTATATTATATCACGTATAATACTATAGGTACCATTTCTAGCACTTAAACATAAAAAAATATCAAAAAACTTGGAGCAGTCATTTGACCGCTCGCCGTCTTTGTAGGTAGATGATTTTTTCCGTCTTTCTAGTGTTAAAATTACAAAAAACTTTAAAGTAGTATTTGAATTTTATTCATCAGTAGAATCAGTTCTAAGGAATTGTGGGTATGCTTAACTAGTCTTAATACTCGTAATATTGTCCTGTCGTGTAAATAAAATTGAGTATGCCTAAAAGATTATTGTTTGGAATTCAATTCTGCATTCATTGATGTGCATTGATAAAAGTGAATGCTTAAAAACTCTCTCTCTTAACTTCGTTTTACTACGACAACACAACCAACTAAACTTTGTTTCATTAATGGCTATTACTGAGTTTCTTATTCAATGTCGTCAATTTTACGCTAAACTACATAAAATGTCGTTAAAGTCAGGACACACCAAGGCGGAAGACAAAATTGACAGAAAGTACAAAAAAGTATATTAGTCACTTAACGAACGCAATTACTTTAATGCGTACCGACAAAGTTCAATCTTCGACGAAGGACTTTAAAAAAAAACAAAAGAGTCGTCAGCGCCGGCGTCCCATGGAGAGATGCGCATGATTCATAATGGTGGAATGTAAACATCTACCTGCACCTGAGATGGCTTTATTAACGGCCGATCGATATAACGGGCTGATGGGTGGTCCGTGTTACGTCACTTACCTACGTTCCTAGTTTCCCGGGAGTTTCGATTTTAATAAAAACTAGCTACACTCCTACGGAGTTTATGGTAGCCTGACATTTTTTAGCCTATAGATTTCGTCAATAAGTGAACCATCCAACAAAAAACTAATTATCCGAATCGAATCAGTTTTTCCAAAGATTAGCGCGTTCAAACATACACATTGTCATATTTATATATACCTCCTACGCTCCTACTAAGTTTAAAAAAAAAACCAGTAATAGTTTGCCCGACCCAGGAATCGAACCCGAGACCTCTTGTCCGGCAGTCGCTCTTGCGACCACTCGACCAAGGCATACAATTTCTTTATACAATGCCAGAGATAGCATGATATTTAAATTTCCCCAGAATTGCACAAATGTTTTGTTCATACGTCGAAATTAGCCAAAACGATCACAACAGTTCTCGAGATTTTCGTACTTAATTCAACACTTTATATTTCCTTTCATATCGATTCGAGATGACTCACTCATTAGTCGCATTGGTCCCTAAAAGAGATAGAAGTAACTACTTTCAAGTTACTTATCCTATTATAATCAAGTTCAATTTGCCAGCCCATTTTGCAAACACCAAGAACTACTCCAGCTTGTATTATTGTTTGTCTCGCTCATTTGTACCCAAACAATAGCAGCTTTAGACAAAACACAGTTACTTCATTCTCTTGAATGAAATTAGCTAAGTCCTTCAAAGGAATTTAGTCCCGTTGCTTGGTGCATGAATAACGAATCAGTATTATACAACTATTTTAAGAATAACTCTTTCATAATAGAAGCTTATAGGTAGATAGGAGATAAACATAAGCAATACAAATATTCAACCTCATTTTCAGATCTTCTCCTGGCGCCTGTTTGCATTAACCGTCTTTAGATCCCTAAAATGAAATTATTGTAAATGTTATTAATTATTGTAAATGTTAAAAAGAACACACTAGTTTGTTCGAAGCACCTGGCCAGGGCTAAATTATTCAAGTGTTTTCCTTGCACCGATATAAACATTGTCTTCAGATCTTCTTATTTTTATTTTCTAGCCGCGGAGAACTTTTTTTTTTTAAGGGGAAAATCATCGAATGACTGCTCCCGCCTGGGTGAGGCGGGAGGGAGTGTCAGACTCTTCCGAGTCGCGGAGAACCTAACGGGTAACCGGGGCTCCGGCTCGACGTGCAGGAGAAGGAACGGGGTGGTTTTTAGTCAGTAAGAGTCTGACACTCCCTCCCGCCTCTCCCAGGCGGGAGCAGTCATTCGATGATTATCACCCCTTAAAAAAAATCGATTTTCTTCCAGATAAGACTAGGTATAAAAAATACAAATGTTTAGGGTTGCAGTATTTTTATTTTTTTGTGGGACAAGTTCCCCACTATAGTACATAGATACAACCATGAAAACACCTAAACAGCGATAGTCTGGCGCGTCGCAGGGACATAAATAACTGTCTTGAATTCCGAAACGAAATAAATCAGAAGATATTATTAGAGGAGAAGAAAAAACTATAGTTTACACTGCAGTATTTATTAACACTGGCGCCCCTTTTTTTAAACTATCCTAATATAATATCTCTGCGAGGTACTATAGAAAAGTCCAACTAACTGCAGTTAGTTGGATTTGCATGCTAACATTCTCGACATTCAATCCGCTTCTATGAACCTTATATTTCCTATACAGAGAGCGTGGAACAGGAGTCGGAGCCAGTGAGCCGCGACATCGTGACTCTGAACTGCACCGTCGCGTACATGTCACAATGCATGTCCTGCGACAAATGCCGCGCGTCCTGCAGGTCCATGGGCGCTAACAGCTTGAGGTGAGAATCCCTAAAATTAATAGTATTCGGAAATATTGCTACTGTAACTTACTTGTTGGCTACTCGATTTCGTTTCAGGGAATTTCAGTGATCATTTTACTTATAAACATTGCCTGGTTTTTGGATGTCTGGATATTATTTGATTACGTAGTTAAGTATTGCAACGATGTTTTTAACTACAATTTTGTTTTCGACTTCTCTACATTTATACCTTCCATGATTATTGTTTAGGTTTGTCTACGTAGGTATCCAGTCATTTAACTCATACCTAAACATGTTACAGCTACTCCTAATTTTCCTTCAGGATGCATTTTGCACGCTTTATAAATTACGAGTGGAGAAGCTCATTAATACACCTATTATTACTTACTAACTACTTCCGCGCGGTTTCATCCGCTCTGCTAGGTGCCTATTGACCGTAGCGTGATGTTTTATAGCCTATAGCCTTCCTCGATACATGGACTATCTGACACAAAAAGAATTTCTCCAATGAAACAGTAGTTCCGGATGTTAGCGCCCTTCAACAAATGTCTTCAGCTTTATACAATAAATATAAAGTATATAGTATAAGATAAACTTCTTTAACATTTAAAACAAGTTTGTAATTTATTTTACAAGCTTTCGTCTGACTGGTGTTGTTCAAATGTTCCAGATGGTTCCACGACGGATGCTGCGAGTGTGTGGGAGACAAATGTTTATCTTACGGGATCAATGAGAGCAGGTAAATAGCAATACACCATATTTATTATGTTTTTCTCTCTCTAACAAAGACTTATACTCTTAAGTAACTTAAAATCTATGCTATAATAGAATTCTTATTACAAATCTAAATATAAATTCTATCTAAATCTATTCTATCGAATCTAAATATATATTGTTCAACTTTATAATACTTATGTTTTGTATAATGTATGATAGTCTTATGTTGTATAATATTATATCTGTTCTATCCTCGTCGTACGTCATCACTTACAACGTAAATCATAGTAATGCTTGTTCGCAAAGCTTGTTTATGTCTTTGTCTACTTTAATGCACGGATTCCCAAACTACGGCTCGCGACCCATTGGTGGGTCACAAGCGAATTTTTAGTGGACCTTCTCTATAAATTAATACACTAACCACCCGTTCTTTGTTTTATACTTTTTATATTGGTAACGGTTTAATTTCCTTAAAGTGAGCCCTTACTTTGCGAACTTGATTTAGATAGGTCGTAATCCAGACAACTTTGGGAACCACTGCTTTAATGTGTAAACGGCTATTTTAGTATTTACGCTTAAATGCGAAAATACTGATTATTGCAAGATATTGTTGTGAGGCTAAAACTACAAATAGATTTTCAATATAGATGCAAAACAATTTAAAATATTATTAGAGTCTAGTTAAAATCTGTCTACGTAATTCGCTGTTTTGGCTGCTGCCTCCTTCTCGAATCGTTTTCCTCGGCGCTCAGGGTCGTGACCACCCTTCTGCATCACCTCCTCGCGGATAATTGTTTTCCATTCATTCCTGTCTCTGGCGATCTGGAGGGCGTTATGGATAGTGGAATCGAATGTGGTGCAGATTTGATCAGTCCATCGTGTCAGGCTGCGACCACCACTGGCGTTTTCCAAACAACTTTTCCGGTCACAATAAGTCGTTCTAAGTTTGACTGCTTACTAAATAGCAAAAGCTACAATTGTCAAGAAAACGCAATATTTACACCATACACATAAACCAAAACATAAACTTTATATACATTTGGGTATAACCTGGGACGACGTCCTCCATCGTAGACCGCATCATCGCTTACCACCAGGCGAGATAGTGGTCAAACGTCGACCCATAAAATAAATAAAAAAAAAAGAAAGAAAGAAATAGAGCCATTTGCATGAGCTGTTATTTCTTTTTCATTTCTTGATAAGTATTTTCTGATACTAGTATTTTATAAATTAGTTACTTGTGTCGTATAAAAGACAATCTAGTTAACTTTAAAATGAGAGCATTTTATTAAAAAAGGAATAATTAACATACCTAACATAACATCACGCCTTTTATCCCCGAAGGGGTAGGCAGAGGTGTAGGCAGGCAGAAAAAAGGAATAATTGTTTAAAGTTATAAAGGGCGCGATAAAATGAAAAAAACAAAACGGTAACGCTGGCTTCCTTTCTTTGCTCTCACGTGTAGATCTGCCTCGTTGGCCGAGTGGTTGCAAGTGCGACTGCCGGGCAAGGGGTCTCGGGTTCGATTCCTGGGTCGGGCAAAGTATTACTGGGTTTTAAAAAAAATCTTAGTGGTAGCACAGAGTCTAGAATTGTGCCTGGTATATGGCAATAGGTTCACCCCCTGAAACATGGGACTCATAACATAAAATAGTGAAAAGTGGGTGTTACATGGTACAGTGGCATTAGGTGCCGTAATGTGCACTTCTGCCTACCCCTTCGGGGATAAAAGGCGTTGATGTTATGTAATTTATGTTATAAATATACAATACTATACTAATCTAATATTGGTTGGAAATAGTATGAAAGGCAGACAAGATTGTAGGCACACCTGCGTAACGAGGTCGGCTTGTTGATAGACATTAGCATAATATATTATTGAACATAGATCTGCGCACACGCATCGAAGACGTATCGTGTTACGAACAGGTGTTGCCAATCAATTATGACTTGTTTTATTTTATTGATAGGTAATAATAATGATTATTTTGTTATTGAATGATGTTGGAGAAATAATATACTTGCTTGGGTATAAAAATCTGCATTTATTAATGAACTTAATGTCAAATAGGCACCATATGAAACGAAATGAAATTTATTTTATTTTTATTTATAGTTTTGGATAACCAGTTGTTACATTAGGTCTTACATCTAGACTCCGTGCGGTGTAGCATGGTGCGGGTGACAGTTTCAGTAACGTTTCGTTTTACTCTTGAGAGCTGCTGCGATTTACAAATTATGACCTCAGTATTTCAGCTGTACCACATTTGTAATATACTAAATCATTATTATGTGTAGAAACTTAAATTTAAACTAGCAGAATTTTCTAGTCTACAAATAAAATCAAATTGAAAGACAAAAATGCAAAGTGTAATTCGTATAACGTAATGCCATAGACGTGTTTAGTGATGGGATGTACTGCTACGATGAATAGTCGATATTTGTATAATAAAAAAAAGGTAGATGGTGCGCAGTTCAATTTTTATTGTTAGAAAGTCTATAAATAGATAAATTAAATATCAGAACATTTGTAGGGTAGGCTTACTTCTACGAATACAATATTTTTTAAATAATGAATTAAAATCAAATTGCTAAAAAGAATTACACAAATAAGTATATTATTTTATTCGTCTGAACTTTCATCAGAGTCTACATAGTCATATAATATAAGTAGATTTGTCATCAGTTTAATCCCTAGAAACTAAGCATTAGTAAAACCCCGAAAACGGAATCTCATCTTAAATCCAAGTTAAACAATTATTTGATTTTTCATAACAATATTAAAGCGAACTAGATATATGCAACGCATATCGTCTGCGATAAAAATGAATTGCTAAACGTCACTTCCCTAGTCATGAGGTACTGACAGATGTCAACGTCATACAGGCAACTGTCACCCGCACCATGCTACAGCGCACGGAGTATAAGCAATGATATTATACAATTATACAATAAATTTTGCAATATTAATTTAAATACACCTTATTTTAAGAATTGTTCAACCAAAATTTAATGTTTAATAATTTTTTATTTGACTTGTTTTATATTGTTATGTTATGATTTGGATTTTTGATATTGTATTTCTTTTATATTTTCTTGACATTTCTGTAATTTAATTTAATTTCATTCAATTGCTAAATATTTGTATGGGCATGATGTGATTCCCTTTAATCGAAGGATCACAAGGTTATTGTAACATATAGTGGATTTTTTTGCATGTAAGTGTATCTTTTGTTGGGAGTCCAAATAAAAATAAATAAATAAATTATTGAATAATTGTTACATAACAGTGATACCATATTTCTCGCTATATAATTAAAGATTAAACTTTACAAAGACCAAAACAATAAGACAAATGTCCTCTAACACATAGTTAATAAATAAACAAACAATAAATAAATATTTGTTCTCTATATTTACAGATGTCTGGCATGTCCAGATGGCAAGGAGACCACAGTGAATTCTCTTGACGAGGACCTTACTTATGATGACCTAGACTACGGCGAAGAGGTCGACGCCCAATCTGTATAAAGTACAGTCAAAATAAGGCTTATTGTCCATGTAACCGCACGTCTTACGCACGCCTTCGTCAATAGAAGCTACCGAATTTTTGCTCACTAGATGACGTTAGTCTGAGCCTCTCGTTCTTCGTCCAATAGGGAATTAGCTACTGTCTCACTATTCATTATCATCATCAACAGCCTATAAGTGCCCACTGCTGAGCAAAGCCTCTTCTCACATGGAGAAGGATTGAGCATTAATCGCTTGCTCGCTTGCGGGTTGGCGATTTCAAACTTATAATTAGAAATTATAAGACCAGGTTTCCTCATCGTTTTCCTCCACCGTTTGTCAGTAGTAGCTAAGTTATCTTAGAAAGTATATATAAATCGAAAAGTCACATTAGTACTTGCCGTTGGTAAGTTTCGAACGACATTGGACATTCAATATAATAAACGTTAGCCCGCATTGACAATTACGAGACGAATGCTTGCATCTTGCGTAGAAACAACGTGGCAATGCTGCATCACAAACTAACTACTCAATGAAATCCGATTATCATCATTTGTAGTATGCTTGCATTCGTCAAATGACGCGTCGTGGACAGTAGGCCTTATCCAGTCAGTGGTTTCACGATCGAAGATGGTTATACAATTTCGACTTTATTGCGTAATGTTTTGGTTGTATTTTGGATTGGTGTCAATGTTTATTCGTATATTGTTCTATGATACCGTTTTATGCTGTTTGTTGTAGTAAACTTTTGGTATTTCAATACTAAAACTTTAACCAGTTGCCTACTTTTCTCAAGATTATATTAAACTCTGATGTATTACTAAACAATGTTGAAATACCCTATAATGATTGGATATTTAGTATTGGGACTTTTGTACAAAATCATGAGTTATAGTGATACATAAGGTTTAAATTAAAGTGTGGGAGAGCCATGCTTCGGCACGAATGGGCCGGCTCGACCGGAGTGATACCACGGCCTCACAGAAAACCGACGTGAAACAACGCTTGCGTTGTGTTTCGTCGTATGAGTGAGGTTCCCTTCCCCAATCTCCCTAATTCCTGAATCCCCAACGATCCTCAAACTCCTAATCCCCAAAAGGCCGGTAACGCACTTGTAACGCCTCTGGTGTTCCAGGTGTCCATGGGCGACGCCGATTACTTACCATCAGGTGATCCGTCTGCTCGACAACCGGCTTAAGCCATAAAAAAAAAATTACAACAACTTACAGACCAAAACCTACCAACCAGCTTTCAGACTGATCCAAACGAAATCGAATTAACATCGACGCCCATTTTAAGCTTAGAAAGTAAAACTCGATGCTTCCAGACTGTATTCTAAATTTAAAAAAAATACTCTATTTTATCTGTAGACTTTATGATATTATCATTGACGTATACGTCCTTTTTCGTAGTATTAGACTTACACAGTGTCGTTGTATTTTCTACCTTAATGCGTTAGCATAGTTTCTTTTTTTACTTTGACATATCTCTGTATTTCACAACCCAGTGTAATATGGACCTTTTTAGTTTAAGCCTTTAATGTAAATTAGAATTTATATCAGTAGTACATAACGATCATATTAAAATAACTCGAATAATGTATGAACATTAATATTTACAATACAATTGAAATAATGTTCGCCTATAATTTAGAATCTCACAAAAATATGAATAAAAGGTATAAAGTGAATGTAACTAACTTTATTATATTTATATTCAATAAGACTTATTTTTTAAAAAAGTGATAAAATGATCAGGCTTCTCGAATTTCCGTAAAATCAGTCGATGAATCTCACAAATTATTAACATTTTTTTCTTTAAGTTTGGTCTGTAATATAGCTAAGCCGAGTGTAAGTTTTTTATCATATTTATTTACTTACATCTTTTACATACTCTCATTAGTATTAGCTTATAGTCACTCTACCAAGAGTTGATCTTTCAATCATCGGATAACAGATAAAGTAAAATAAAAAATAAATGAATCACAGATTCAGCCTTTTAAAAAATAACCACACAATTTTTTGAACCTCACTGATTTTCCCATTGTACCAACTAGAAAAAAAATTAAAATGTTTTGCTTTAACATAATATGGAAGTAGTGTAAACAACAGTTTTTCTTTATGTTTTTATCCTACGATTGAAAAATCAATTCTAAGCCATAATGTAGTACATACTTACATTCGAACAAATATAAGTCTTCCGTAACACCATATAAAGGTGAAAATTGTTTGCTAAGCATTATTATATTTTACTCTTCCGTCCCTAACCTAATAAGTAGTAAATTATATTGAAATGATTAACAACGCCTATTTTAGTTAGTAGATATAAGCTAATTTAATTAAAAATACGATTTACTCACATGGACTATTTCATAAAAGTAGCGTACGCGGTGCAGTGACGTCAATTGGCTCATGAATAAGAGTCCCGTAGTAATTTTCACCCACCACCCCTAAAACCTCTTAACTTAAGGTTACTTAGAGTTATGTAACACCTAAGTTGTACTGTTAGGTGTCATATAGATTGATGAATAGCACAATGTCGTTAAAAATCACTTAGCTTTTTTTTTTTTTTTAAGGGGGGAAAATCATCGAATGACTGCCCCCGCCTGGGTGAGGCGGGAGGGAGTGTCAGACTCTTACTGACTAAAAACCACCCCGTTCCTTCTCCTGCACGTCGAGCCGGAGCCCCGGTTACC